TTGTTTGCTTTTGGAGGCGGTTGGCTTCCAGCTACTACCTAGTTTCTTCCTCTCACTAACCCTTTCAACCCATCTAAGAGGCCTTTTATGCTTATTCCGTGTGTTGTATAGGTTTTTGTGCACGTGAATGACCTGAAAACACTCAAATCCCAATTGTAGGCTAAGGGGGGGGGGGCTCTCTAAACGGTTGACCAATCACAGCAGTCTGGTTTCAGACAGAGGGTGAAAAGAGTAGGAGACAGTCAAAGTAGAAGCACAAAATACTAATATCACCCTGAAAATGAGCATACAAGGGCCTTTAAGTGTTTAGTGTGTGCAAGATAGACCAATTAAAAGACGCCTTTTAACCCATTTACTTCCTTTTCACACAGTACCCACAGCCACGCCCAGCTCCCCCGACGCCGTGGACCACTACCTGGGGACGCCAGCGGACGAAAACGAACACGCCCACTTCCAGAAGGCCAAAGAGAGCCTGGAGGCCAAACACCGCGAGAGGATGTCGCAGGTAGGACGGATAGGAGGGAGGGAAGGAAGGAAGGAAGGAAGGAAGCAGAGGATATTTAGCAGACTGAACGCTCATCAGCAGTTGATGCATACACATGAATGAGTCAAAGATTAACACGGCTGGATTAATTAACCCATTGTCCCCAGCAATGACAAACAACAACTGCAACCCCCTTAAAGTTTTGTATTTTTTTGCCATCATATCTACAGGCGCGACATCCTCTGATTCCACACAGTTGGTTTCATACTCTTTCTATGGTAAAGGCCTGGGTTTAATTAAAGAAACACCCTGTGAGACAGAGAGGGTGACACTGAGGTACTATCTTGCCAAAAAAGGGACCAGAAACGGTTTATGTGGTAATAACAACTTTATTATCCTGCAGAAACTCCCTCTTTTTCTCAATCTTATTTTAATTTGAAGCTCGAAATCACCAGACTTTTACATCGTTTTTTTACAGAGAGAGATGATTAAAGTTTAAACGGCTCCCCAGACCCTCAACTTGGGATTTCTTTCAGATGTGACCCAGGATCTTTTTCTACATTTCAGGTGATGAGAGAGTGGGAGGAAGCCGAGAGGGAAGCTAAGAACCTCCCCCGCGCTGACAAGAAGGCCGTCATCCAGGTAAAAAAAGGACATGCTGGATGCGTACAACCACAGGATATTTTGCGGTGTGCTTTTGTATCTATGTGTTGCAATTTGTGCAGCGCTTCCAGGAGAAGGTGGAGGCGCTGGAGCAGGAGGCAGCCAGCGAGCGGCAGCAGCTGGTGGAGACGCACATGGCCCGGGTGGAGGCTCTGCTCAACGACCGCCGGCGCCTGGCTCTGGAGAGCTACCTGACGGCGCTGCAGCTGGACCCCCCCCGGGTACGCTCTGACAGAACACTGGATGCAATGTCCTCTTACAGATCTCACTGTCGTCCTGTCATTTCCAAAATGTCTGGTTCATATCTGAATCAACCGGACCTTCTGATATGGAGAGCCAGGGTTCTTACGGTCATTAAAAACCTGGAAAAGTCATGGAAATTCAAAATGCTAATTCCAGGTCCTGGAAAAGTTATGGAAAACAATATTTTTCCCAAAGTTTTGGAAAAGTCATGGAAATTGAACTAAAGTTGCATCAAATGTAATTTATATTTTATCTAATCGCCGAAATAGTAATACTATAATGATAATAAATACTGTATCGTATAGTAATGAAAATTAAAATGGCATTTAACTGAGATTTGAGTTGCTTTAGCGCAGGGGTACTCAAATACAAATCTTAAAGGTCCAACATTTTCTTTTCAATAAGACAAAGGTCCGTTTATTACGGTCATTCACACGAGGTTGCAAAAACAAAAATAATCTGTATGCAGCAGTTTTCATTGTTATTGTGTCTGTGCTTGATCCCT